GAGTTCCTCATGCTGTACAGCGCGATCGTCAGCGTATCGAGGTCGATGGGAGAGACTGAGAAGCCGCAGGCCCCCACACGCGGCAGGCGGCAGGGCAGGTCTGCCGCGTGCTCGGCCGCATCGGCCACCTCCGCCGCCACCCTCGGCCCGACAGACACGAAATACTCATTCAGCGCGCTCGGTGATAGCTGTGGTGAGGTGACATCTCGCTTCCGGCCAGCAACAACACTCCGAATGTTGCGCCACACGGTGTGGGGTCCCTGCTCCCTGATACGGGACTCTATGGCCAGGCGCGGGTCGCGGCGGATGGCGGACCGGACAGATCGGTTCAGATCGCGGTATTCGCTCGAGTCACGGCCGAGGGTGCGCAGAGCGCCGCGGCGGCTCGCCATCAAGTCCTTAGTGGCGGCCGTGACCGGCGGGGCAGATGGGTTGTGAACCTTGCGGCTCCGTATCGGCGCGTGCTTGTCCAGAACAGGTATGTAGAGTGATAAAAAAGCTCGCCACTTCCCATCGACCGTCTCAGATGTAAAAACGTCACTCCAGTCACAGCACTGTAAATCGAACAGAAACGCACCCGAGTCTATCCTAGCGAGTGGGCGTGACCGCGACACTACAGTGTGCGATCGTGGACGGCGCGGCACACTGAGACTACAACTAACGATGCGATGTGGGCTAAAATCACAATGTTTATTGCGGCGCGGCGTTGCTACGTTAAGACGATTGACAATGAGAACATCTAAGAGCGATCCAGAGGTAAATGTCGGGCCAGTCACTAGTTGAGAGAGCGAGTAATCATCTAAAAACACTTCTAAACGAGCTCTGGCTGGTGCCGGAGGGGGTTTGAGGAGGTCACAGTTCAGATCCCCGCCAATAATAATGGTCACATTCGGGTGATCGAGCAGCGCCCTCTGTAGCTGGGCCTCCAGGTCTCCGAAGTCGGCGTCGAGCGCCGCAGCCGTGTAGCGCGGCGGCCGGTAGATGGAGCCGATCAGAAGGCGCCGTCCGCGGTCCAGCGTCACCGTCGACCAGACGGCCTCCAGTCGGCTGTCTTGAGGACGCGGCGTCGCCGGCCGGTACGCAGCCGTCGACGTCAGGAATCGTCTACCATCGTCGGACGTCGTCCCAGTATGTTGCTCAGCAGTTACCCACTCGCCACTTGCCTTCCGTCCACCTTTCCCCATCCGCCTCTTCCACTCACACCTCCCCAGCTCTCCCTACCTGACCGGGCTCGCTGTGAATTCCTCACCCACTCGCGAGTCGCCGGTCGCCGCTCACTCGCCGGGTCACCGAAGCCGGCAGCCCCTCCGCGCAGGATTTAATTCGCGGCTGAACGAGAACGCCTCTGATCTCATCTGGGTTACGAGCGGGGATCGATCAGGCCCGCCGCCGTCGGACCCGGCTCATGGTGAGCAGTCGTCGCTCACCGCTCGGGGACGGCCCGAGGCGACAGCGGCGACCAACGCAAGATGCCTGACTGCACGACGCACGTCCACCGGGAGAAAGGCTTTCATGTGTAGGTACCTACTGCGGATGCAGGCCCAACGACAAAGGTTTACCACTGATCGACAAGCAGGCAAAATACAACACTCACCAAAACGGGATAAGGACAGTCAACGTCACACGCACATCTGTCATCACTCCCCTGGACCACGCACAATGTCTAGCTCAAATCTTGCCAAGCATACAGCTAAGCATCAAAATTCGAAGTCTTTCCTGCTCTCGAAATGACTGATAGTTAGGTGTAGGTAGGGGAGAGTGGGGTAATTTGGCCGGTGGTGTAAATTGGCCGCCCCCACCTGTACGAAAGCTGATAAAAGTGAATGAAATAACTTTAGTCTCTATTCATTTGTCATCGGCAGAACTAACTCGAGAACAAATGTCAAAACTTTCCCCCTCTTAGTTTTATTCAAAATTAGTAAAAGGTGAATTACGTTAGAAAATGGTAACTTTTACTTCCGTTTAAAAATTTGTATAACATGTAGTATTTGGGCTGTAAACGAATTCCAACATTATAGTGCCATTTTTTAGGGTGTTCAGCGGTTCCAAGAGCAATTTCATCTAGTTTTGTACAGCCATGACGACTTTATAGACAAAAATTTTCAGAATGGCAACGTGGGGTTATTTGGCCGGGACTAGCGGGGCAACTTGGCCGGTGCTCTCAGAGTCACTATGCTGGGACGGCCGAGTTGTCATGGTCAATTATACCATAAAGGACATAATTCATGACCAACTTTGACTACCTTGATGCCATATTTCCTATTGGACAGCTGTAAGGGCATGTGACGTCATCAAAGGTTACCTAACGCTTTTTGCTAATAAAAACTTACAGAAAAAAGATACATCCGCGCAAATGGTCTCATTGTGTTCAGCTCGTCAAGGCGCATCGAATAATATACATGATGACCTTGAACTAACGTAACCTTGAGGTCAAGCGACCTGAGGTAACGTGACCTGAAGCCAACCTTGACCTTGACCTTGACCTCTCGAGGCCAACACATACATGTTTCGATGCGGAATGACGAGAGAATTACGATGGTACTTTTAGTTTTGGCCTAACTTGATTACTTCAAAAGTTATTCGTAAAAAAACTGTCATCGCATCTAGAGCCGCTATTTTGACTATTTTCGACCCCTGTGACGGCTGAGTCAACCTCCAAAATGCTTCAAATGCGTCGTAGGACACGCGTCATTGCTGAATGTGAAGCTGACTCGCCTATAACAAAAATCATGGCCTCAAACTAACACAGGCCAAATTGCCCCACACCCCCGGCCAAATAACCCTGCTAGTGGGGCAATTTGGCCGCTTTGCAGACCTTTGTAATACGCCACAATTTCAATATAAGTAGTTACTCAATCATTTCAAGTTTACTGTCCAAGAAAGTAAAATGTATGCCACACCTGTCAGCGTTGAGAAAATGCAGAAATGTGTTGTCGATTTTTAGTTACATCGTTTTCTAAAAAAAGCGGCCAAATTACCCCACTCTCCCCTATGTAACTACGAACAAGAAAGAGCGGATTTTACCAACAGTCAGTTTCCACTTTTCACACCCGTCAGAGCATCATTTAATAAGCCGTGTCGACCGGGTTAGGTGCCCACCGCCGACAGCTCCACACGTTTCGCGCTTCTTTTGCCAGCCCCGATACCAAATCAACGGCAGGCAATCTCGTCGGTGCTGCCATCACAAATGGGCCGCATTAATATCGCATCCAGGAAACTACGCCGGCCCGGCACCGCACTCCAAATGTCGTTAGCTCTGCAGAGTGAGAGAAACGGGCTCTTGGCCAAAGGGCAGCTGCACAACGGATATGAGCGTCGAATCAGGCAGACGACTTTCTGGACTCGCTGCCAAACGATTACGAACAACGAGAGACACAGAATACAGCATTCATCATGGATAATGCCTGTCAAAATAGTTCATATTCAGTCCGCATTCCCAGTATCAGTACACCATCGATCGACTTGAAACCTGCTTACAACAGAACCCCCAAGGCAAGAATCAGTGGCCAGAAACATTCGGGGGCAATCCCAGACGTTGACATGTGTCAACAAAGGTCGTGTACCTGAAAGTGTTCCAGTGGAGCTGGAGCACTAAAATGGCACACAAGACAGGCAGACACGAACATATTTCACCATGAATAATTCAATTTATAAAGGTCACGCCGTTACTTAAATTCGTTAAATGTTCAGGTACAATACAACGCACAGAACATCTTGAACATTGGAGCATGTAGCATGCTAAATGCTCAGGGTCCATTGTCAGTAAAAGTAAGTAAGCAAGTAGTAAAGAGGTCGAGTAAAAGCAAGTAAATAAGTGGAGTAAAAGGTTCAGTGAAATGCGATATCATCAGCATGCAATGTCAAGAGCTATATAGGTAATGTTACATCACTTAGATTAGACTTTAACTGAAAGCATGGGTGTTATTTTAATTGTCAACTCTTACAGGGATGTTCACGAAAAACTGACACATTTTAAAACGACTTTGTAAGCATGTGAGAGCTCACGGAGACTTGACTTGCATGCCATTCGAAAGCCTGTTGAAAAAAGTTTTGTATCTGCATAGCTCCTTTAGTTAGCATCACATGAGCTTCCAAATAAATAAGAAAGGGTTAAAATGGGGAAATTTGACTTGGCGACAAAACTTAACGGAAAAACAATGAAGTTCTCGCGGCTGCCATCTGCCACCACGACTGAACCAGTCTACGAATTCGTCTAAAATTTGACATATTAATGTTTCGATGGATTATGTTTTATACTATTGGCATATTGTGGGCAAATTCCTAAGGAATGCCAAAATTGGCAGGCTTGGAAGTGCTGATGTCAGAAACCATGGCCGCATGCTGGCAGTCACTGTAGAGTGGTACCGTGCCATCTTTTAACAGCTTCTGTTAGCTACTGTAGCGGAAATGGGTCGACGTCTACACCATTTGGTGGTTCTGGCACGTCAGGGCCACCCTACGTACAGTAACGGCGATCATCGGTCTCACACGAGAACAGGGGGGAGGGGGCACTTGTCTCGCGCATCACCTCTCACCCATAGCCGGCCATTTCGCTCTACCTCAACTCCGTGGACTATTCCTGTGGGGTCACGTGAGTGACATGATCTGTAGCAGCGGCCCAAAGGACATCAAACCTCCCGACGAGTGCAGTGAGAGGTGTTGCAATTCTCCAGGCACGTGCCCAAAAACGGGGAATAATTTCCTGTTTCGGGCTGAGTCGTGCACTGCTCCAAAAACTCGTCATCTGCAAAATACGCTGTAACTTCTTAGAAACGAAAATGACATGATCCCAAAATATGTCAATACAAACTTAGAAGTCCACTCTATTTGCCCATAGCATGATCACCGTTCTGAGGGCAAGTGTTTTCTCGTAATTCGGAAATAAAATGTGTCAGTTTTTCGTGAACATCCCTGTACTTGCATTTGCTTATGAAAGTCTGATACGCCAAACCGAAACCACATGACATAAGCTGGAAAAAGTCTGCAATAAAAATACGAGCTTTCGAAAGGATTTCACAAAAATGTATTGAACACTTGAAAATAGCTTTCTGACTCACACAGGTGTCCAACCTAATAGATAATCATGGAGGTTTACTCCAGCGTGTTCGCTATCGGTGTCCCCCTTCCTCTTACGCGCCACACTCAGCACAAACCATGGTAGACTTTAACCAAAAACAACATCACAAAACGCCGCTGTAACCTTGACGTGAAGCTCCCATGGCCAAGAGCTCCTTGACACAGCGACAGCATCGTTCACACACGATACGGTTCCAAAAATTCAGTGGAACAATCACCCATGTGAAACGTCACCTACAATTACACGGCGGTGCTCAAAACTGAAGCTTCGCTGCACCGCCACCAGGGCGAAATCACAAGGCAGAAACGCACCGAGCAGTCACAGATTTAGACGTCCGCTCTCGTGTATTCGCCGCAGATGTTTATCACTCTGGGATCGATTTCTTGTGTCAGCAGCGGAGCCATTTTAACAAGGTGCAACTGGCTCATTTAACACCGCGGAACAGACATTCGAACGGCATGTTTGGGGCGAAGGAGCTCACCTCCCTTTCCGGCAGAGCAACATGCCGAGCCCAGCTGTCGTTCATAACCTATTGCGTGCACTTACCAAAAGTAAATCATGAATCACTCAACTCGGCCAGTTCGTCGTCCAGGCCCAGATCATCCAGGTCTTGGAAGAGCGACTCGTCGACCTTGACATCTTCCCCAGCTATAACAGCGACAGTGCGACCGTCAGTACGGGTACACTAAAGTGGCTCTCAGTCGTGGTATTCAGCTTAGGAAATAATAGGCACTACCAAACACAGTGACAAATTACGATCACACAGGAAAACCTGCCTAGTGCCTATGTCATATTAAGGAAGTGTAATTTGCGTAGCTGAGTGTTTCATATGACATAATGGTCACGTAAAAGCTCGTTCATGCATAAGAGTAGCCAAAAAAGTGCAGGGAAGCTTCGCTGCATTTTTTTGAATTTGAAATAGAAAATATCCTTGTCAATCAAGTCAAAAAAGAAAAACTAAGTCTAGCTTGCCAATGATCACCCACGAATCACATAAATCGACCAGTCATAATGCATACAGCCAGCAAAACTTTCACCGGGAATCAATATCCAGCTGCCCGTATCCCAGAGCATCTCAGCAATCAACTGCATCCCATCCTTCCACTTACCGTCCTCAAGGAACTTGATGTCGGAGTTGTCGAGCGTGTTGTCCTTCTGGAAGAGCTCGCGGCCGGACAGCTTGCTGCGCCGCGCCGCCTCCAGTTGGCGCGCCTTCTCGGCCCGTAGCGCGTTCATCTCGCGCTCAAAGTTCTCCTTCCACACGAGAAATGACTCCACCGTCACACGCGTACCCTCGAACCGTTTCTGCAGCAGAGGAAGGGTGTCAGACGGACGGCGGCGACTCGGATGGTCAGACGGCATCTCTTCCTTTATTGGCATTCAAAGCCAATGACATTGCCTTGAGTTCATAGCCACTTTAGTGTCACAGCATCGCTGTACATACAATTCATATTGTAACATATTTTGTCAAACAACTTAACAGGGCCAAACCGTGGGTATAGCAAGGGAATGGAAACAGCCCAGTCAACTCTGGCCAAAAAAATGAGGCATAAATTGCTACATGGCTAAGTGCGAAATAAAACGTATATTGTGTACAGACTATATTTCTACAGGTAATACGCTAAAGAGTGTACTTAATTGAAGTATACTTTACATATAGGTACACTTTATGGTACCTATAAAGTGCACGAAGTAACGTAAATAGTTGACTGGCTGCACGCAAATCAAATAAGTGTTGAAAACGCTATAACAAAGTGACACAAATGATATGCAATCTTCCCACTCAATCCTGGGAGGGGGAGCGGAGGCAAAGATGGATTGAGAGCAGAAGTGATGTGGGGTTGGTAGGAGTAAAAGAAATAGGAGGCAAGCACTGACCCGTTCGGCCTCCTCGACCTCGCGCTTAATCCGCTCCGCCTCCTCCTCCTTCCTGCGCTGCAGCTCGTCGCAGTGGCAGTTGAGCCACTCACCAGCCGCCGACACGATTGTGAAGATCATTACCATGCCCACGTTGGCCTCGGCCTAACAACAGACGGCAGACGGCAGTCAGAGACTACGGAATGAACAGCATAGATGAGAGCAAAGTTCGAACCAGTCATAAAGTCATTTGACTTGATGACTGACATTAAGTCATTTGATATTAGTGTGGCATAATAAGGCGTCCGTCTCGTAGCTCGGTGGCAGCGAGTTCGTGGCCAGCGAGTGTCACGTCGCTCGACCCGTTTTTCTATATCGAGCCGGCTGGTCACTCGTGAGAGAGGACCACGCAAGACCGAAGAGGACCCAAGATATTATTTGGTAGAAGCTGTATATTCAACCACTTCTTGAATGAAGACCATTTATTTTACTGAAGTAGGTATTTGTATTTGATCAATTATAAAGAAGGTAAGGTGATCACTGCTTCAAGGAGCCATGACCATTTCTCGAACTGAAATAACATGCTGCACCCAAAGGGCTATCAACTGCATAGACAATACATACCTCTGCCTGCATCATCTCCATGAGTTGTTCCACCTCCAGAGGTGTACAGTTTTCTGGCTCCTCTAGGATCTCGAGCTGCGGCACCTCGTCTGGGTAGCGTTCTGGACAGGAGATAGCCAACAAACATCGGCAGCCATTCTCTGGTGCCAGGTCATAGTCCTGGCTCTTCACAGTGATCTGGAACTGGCCGGGACCCACCACTGGCAGGAGATTGGTGTCACAGCTATGTCGACTACAAGATCAACTGAGTACATAGATAACGTTATTGCTGGTGTGCACACATATCTGTAAGCTTAACAGCATGGGCAACAGTCATGAATGGTATCAAATAGGCACCTAAATGCGATGGGATAGGTATACTCAATAGCAGGTGTCAAACTTGCAATATTATGTGCAGAATACTAGTGCTAATGTAGCATGAAATGTTTGGCTGTTTGCTAATGTTTGATAACTCTGCCATTGCACACTTACAGCTTATTTTACTGTGATATCTTTTCTCTACTTGCATGTAATGGCATGAGCTATGAGTGACTAGTGGCTAAAAATGCAAGTCATCACAGTATCACTTACCTTCAAGCTCATCTGGATACATTGACTGGAGAACTTCCAACTCATTAGCCTGTTCTTCGGCATAATTCAAATCCATCATTGAAACCTGCAATGGAAATTGGAAGTGGAGGTGTTTGTGCCAGGTGTGTTCACATATATTGCAAAGACACTGTAGTCACAACATAAATCACAATCACATTTTGAGTAGTAATAGAGAAATATATATATATATATATATATATATATATATATATATATATATATATATATATATATATATATATATATATATATATATATATATATATATATATATATATATATATATATATATATATATATATATATATATATATATATATATATATATATATATATATATATTGAGACGGGTTACACAGCACATTGGGTGGACGCGTTTCGTCTAAATGACTTTTTCGACATCCTCTTGGAAATCAAAACAACTTTAATTTCCGACAGGGTGTCGAAAAAGTCATTTAGACGAAACGCGTCCACCCAATGTGCTGTGTAACCCGTCTCAATATATATAACTCACATTTTTTACAAACGGATCATTCAATGGGAAATATATAGTCAGATTTAGGTAGTTCTTCACCCTAAATACCATGGAAACTATTTCTTATTCTAGAAAGGAAAGAAAACTTAGCAACTACTATGAGAAAAAGGTTTGTTTTAATGGTAACTGTGAAGATGAAGTCCAACTAGTCCAAGTACATGAAACAAACAATCTAACCTGACCTAGCCTCATGGGTGTCAATTTCCTCAGAGTTGCGGGGGCCCACTGCAAGGCAACTCCGCGCTGCCCTTGTGGTGACCTTGACCGGCGCGCCATCTGTTGCGGCTCCAAAGCCAAGCCGGCTGAACCGGCGTGCCATTTGGAGAGCTTGGGCACCCACAACTTGGCAGAAATTGACACCTATGCCTAACCTTACCTACTAACCTAAAAACCTTAAACATAGCTACCAACCTACAAGTTACAACCCACACACTTCCCAAGTTCCAACCAACCAACCAACCTTGAACCTACTACCTACCACAAGGCACAACCTACAACCTACCAAGCTACAACCTACCAACTTACAGCCTACCAACCTACCAAACTACAACCTTGAACCTACCATACCACTTGGACTTCATCTTCACATATTCCGCTTTAATCGCCTGCCTACCTGCACAACTAACAACAGTGTATCTGAAATTTTGAAAGTTAGAGAAGCTTTCTAGAGGTAATGACTCCCGCAGCATCACAAACCGCCTTAATTCTGGACCTGCCTACACTTCTAAGGCGCTAAGCGCTTCCTCAGATCAGATTATTATGGATCATATCTAATTTGCATTCATGAAAATCATCAGCATGTAGGACTTAGGGTGGCACTTAGCAATAGGGTGAATTTTATGTTATCCGATTTTTAGGCGTGCGGGTAGTTTTCTGGTTCCATTCCCGTAAAAAATAATGTGTGCAAAATGATTTTGAAAAATATTGATATTTAGGGGTCGCGAATTGAGGTCAAAGTTGACATTTTTGGGCAAAAAATCAACTTTTTGGAAACTACTTTAAACCTATTTGGAATGACATATGTGGTCATTAAGCGTCATTTCAGACGTATTTTGACCTTTGTTTGTATAACAATTGTTAATCCCATCACTTCCGGCCGATCGTAGCCAGTCCAGGTCAGGCCAAGACAGGTCTGATCTGGGCTGTTTTACCCATGTCAGGCCTGTTTTGGCCTGCGACCGGTGCCTTCTCACAGTGGAGGTCATATCCTCTGATTAGTGTGAGGAGTGACCGGTCTCTCCTGTTCCAAAGGGAGGACGAGCCCCACGGTTCTATCGGTTCTTGAGACATGCTCCTTTTCTGTCAAAGAGAATGTGAAGAAGTTGGAGTCAGCCTATCGCCGGCGGGCGAAAGCAGAGGCGATAGTGTGCATTGAGCTGCACTGGTTTATTGTGCTTTCGGGATGTTCTTCCGTGGGCGCTCCTTCCGACTCTAGTGCCAGTGCCAGCAACAGACTTACCCGGCCGTTGCGGCGCGCACACGGAGGGAACGTCTTTGACGATGGCTACCATGAGAGAGAAACGTTGACTCACACTCCCAAGCGCATGCGGGCGAGCGGACGTCCCCAACAGTGAACTGGCCTCGACCGGGCAACTGCCCAACCGTAATGTGTGAAGAACACGTGAACCTGTTATCAACTGCGGCACGGAACTTAGGATACGACTCCGACTGAACCGCGAATACTGAGCCGCGAGAGAAGGAGCGTCGACCGATTCTAGGTCCTGGTGATGGGGAGGGGGGAGGGATTGGGGTGGCCAAGCTCCTCGCCGTTCCCAACCTCCCCTCCATCCAAGCACAAGAGGCCATGCTCACAGCGCTGGGGGACTAAGAACTGGAGAAGCGGAACTGCGGCCTTTTGCTTCGACGCCACGACGGCGAACAGCATGCTGGTGAGCGGTACTTTAGCCCTTATCGAGCAGAAGCTGGATCGGCCCGTCCTCCAGCTGGCCTGCCGGCACCACGTGTACGAGCTGGTCCTAGAGAAGGCCTTCTCCACCTGCCCTAGAATCTCGAGCGGCCTCTACATCCGGCTGTTTAAGAGGTTCAAAGGCGGGTGGGAGTTCATACTTCATTGACAGGATCACACCGGTGGCGTTCGCCGTCGACAACGTTCCGGAGTGGGACGAGCTGCTGGTCAGCTTCCATCGCTTCCATCGCTGGACTATGCCTAGCTCCGGGAATACTACCGAAAACTTCTGGAGCTCTGCGTAATTGCTCTCGGTGGAGTTCCAAGCACGGCATCCGTTTCTCCGCCTCAGAGTACTCCACTGAGTTAGATGGATGGCAAAGACCATCCGCACTGTGGATGCCTTCCTCTTCAGGGAGCGGCTCCGGCTGACGGCGGCCGAGGCCCAGGTCATCAGACGCTGTCGCTGTCCGTTGCCTGCAAGTTTGCCGCCGCCTGGTTTAGGACTCTACTGCCACTGCACCGGCTCTGGACCTGACCTTCGTGAACTCGTTCTGCACCTACCCCGACAAGGAGCTGTCGTCGGGGTAGGTGCAGTCCCGGTCTTCGGCCGTCACTTGTAGTACTTGAGTGATCGGCTGGTGACTCTGGAGCTTTTAGACCCCGACTCTCGGGCTCAATCAAGACATGGTGCTGGCAATAGACTTGTAGGAGAGGGAGGACGAGGACCCGCCCCATAAGTTCTTAGTGGACACTATGAACGCCGCTCTCGCGACCGAGACGTTGGCGAGCTTCCTCACACCATCGTTCAAAAAGCTCTCAAGGATCCACGACCTGGACGCGGGGCTCAACATCAATGACCTAGGCCACTGGGAGGACAGCAGCTACCAAACCGCAGCTCGTGTAGTCCGGGAGCTGCGGGTGGTGAATGACTTCACCAGGCGCGGTATGGCGCTGATGTAGGACTGGCACTCATGAAAGACAAAGATTAGCGCCAGTTCTTCCTCCATTTCGTTGAATAGATCACAGAAAACGCTAACCTGACACCCGAAGATCGACTGCAATTGCTAACCAGGCTACACACAAAGTGATCTGGGTGCCCGTTGCCCATGATACCCCTCCCTCCAATGAGGCGCCAATAATCTACTAAAGAGGAGGAACTGGAGTCGTGGAGTACATAGACCAGCGTTCTGGCGTGACCGAAGCTGCATGAAATATCAATAAACAATATGAAAATGACTAAGAAATGCCTTATTATCATCCGATTACAGCGTAATAGGAAAGTCAGAAACGATTTTAATGATGTTGAAATCTGCTACCAAAATCTCAATTTTGACCTTGATTCGCGACCTCTAAACATCAATATTTTCCCATAAAAAATTTGCCTCCCTTATTTTTTACGGGGATGGAACCGGAAAACCACCCGCACGCATTAAAAATCAAAAATTGATTTTTAAGTGCCACCGTAATGTAGGTACTTAAATAATTAATGATTAGTGCCATTTCATATGGTTGTCAAATTAATAAAAAATGTGCCATTTATGGATTGGAGCTCAACATCAACATGCTTTACCTTGGAAAAGGGCAAATTTAAAATTTACTTTAGAACTATCAAGTACAGCCTGAATCCTGGAAAGCAATTCCAAGGACAAATTTGCTTCCTTATTTTACACTAGGTACCATTCAGCTACCGCTGTTACTTATGGCTTATTGATAGAAAGCAGGGCCTCGGCTAACATGTTAACTACTGGGGCAAATGCCCCAGTAGAGTCGAGGAATGCCCCAATAGTGGTCAGGCCTTGCCCAACCTCCACAAAATGAGAATATATCAACATTAACGTACATTCTTTCATTCGGGAGCGGTTGAAGACGTTTGTGGCAAGAAATCAGGGGCGGCGGAAGAGGGAGTGCACGGTGTGCAGCTGCACCCTCAATTTCAATCCAAAAACATAGGTATGCATTGGCAAACATATCTTTTTGCACCCCATAATCCATCTACGTTCGAAAGAGCGTCAAAAATAATGACGAAATAACCTCGGCCGCTTTTTTGGTCAGGTCAATGGACAGGTCATGGTGAAGGCCAAATTTTGCCTATTTTCAGGTCGAATATCGACAGTTTACAAGATGCCGACGCATAACTCGGGAATCAATTACAGCTACAGCACCGCGGAAAAGCGCATTTGATAGCCATATTAGCATGCTTTCTGGTTATTTCTCTTAGATTTGACCTAACGTCAACGGTTTTGCCTGCAAGGGGCAAAAACTACCAAAATAGACGATTTTTTGGGAACAGTTTTTCTGCAATAACTTTTGACTCATGCCTTGCACGAGCTTTCTTTTACCGACATCGTGTTCCTCTCGTCAAGACGCATCAAATTAGCTACAATTTGACCTTTAAGGTCAACTTTAAAATTCGACCTCAGGTCAAGGTCACGATCTGACCGGAAATTGTCATGTTGCATATCAGTCGATCTGATCGTCGAGCCAAACACAACTAAGGTATTTTCATCGCTCTAGCATGCATCTTTCAAAAGTTATTCGCGAAAAACTGTTAGATAGGGGAGAGTGGGGAAAGATGCCCAGGGTTTGACTATGTCATATATTATTCGAAAATGACGATCGG